CAGCGGCGAGGGCCGAGGGGGTTCCTGGGGCTGTCGACGCCAACACACACACACCACACGGACCGACTCTGTGAGGCTGGCAATCATTGCTCCGGGGGATTTTTTCCCTCTTTCGGTCTCTCTCCCTCTCATTATGTTTGATCTGCCAGTCATTATTAAGTGCGGCGGCGTTTCATCACATTGATCCGCTACCACCAACCCCGACCCTCCGAGGACGCGGAGACACTCAGACTGCCGGCCGCTCAATTGAAAACTGTGATTGCTATTGACAGCCTCTGTTTGATATGCATGTGTGTGTGTGTGTGTGTGTGTGTGTGTGCGTTAGCGAGTCTGGTGAAACGATTAGCACATGAGAGCAGGCCAATCTTAAGAGTTATGATGAGCTCTTTGTCCAGTCTTGTTTCCTATGAATCATATTCATATATATCCAGATTAGATGAATTGCATATTGAAAGTAATTGTCTTTTCTTCTTTTCCGATAAATGACTGTTAAGCCACTATCAATGAAAAGCAATGTGCAGATGTTTCATATTTAAAGCCCTCCGCTGGCTCAAATGTCACTTTTCTGGCCCTACTGTGCAGAAAGAGCTGACTGTCATTGGCAGGAGCTCAACACCCGTCACAAGGAAGAAGGGATTAAAAGTGCCAAAGGGAAATCGCCCAGATAAACTTTTGGTACGAGGAACACAGTAGCAGCTAATTATTTTTTGGTAGCCCCACCTTCTCAGCCGCATCACTGCCGGCTGGGAGCGCTTCATCGCTGACTTCTGTGTGAAGACAAGGTTTGGCCTTGTGCTTTTCTCTTTGAGAGGTTCAGTTAGATTTTCGGGGCTTTCTTGAAAAGGATGTTTTGAGCATTTAGACTTGGCATAAAGATGCAGGTTAGAAGGTGGGTGGCACAAAATAAACTGAACAATATGCAGGTTTGAATTGGTTTTAATAGACCAAGTTCTTGCCAATCTTTGGGGCAAACGACCAAGTGACGTAAGTATAGTCTATTCTTTTGGTTAAAATCCAATTACAAAGCCCATTTACATAACACAGGAGGCGAGCTAAAGAGGCGAGCAGCTTATCACAGCAGAGCAGAGCTCCGCCTGACATTAGTCAGTCAGATTGAGCCTGAGCAGTGATTACCTCGACACCTCTTCTATACACCTGTAGGTAGATAGTGACGAGGAAACCATTTGGTATTCATTAGTTTACCTTCGTAATTAATGTCGCATGGAGCCAGCAAACTGCCGCCCGCGGGGCCCGGGGGTAAGGCGTCGGGCGGAGGAAATGTACAGCGGCTTTCCCAATCGCAGGGTGTCAGACGGTGTGACGCATCGATTAGGGCCATGAGCCTTGTTAGAGCCATTAAGTATCCCTCGCGCTTTAATCGGCGCGGCTGCTGGGAGAGGAGTGCACTGTTCGGGCCGGCTGCCACGTTTCAGTTTTGCCCGGTGACTGCTGTTGCTGTTGTCAGTACCTAAGGCTTGACTTGAGCAATCCCTCCATTCTGTTGACAGCTTCAGTCCCCTCTCTGTCTGTTGTTTTGCACCCGTGATTGTTATTTTTAGTAGCGAGCCAGCTGTTCTTGGAGGAAAAATATATAATTTGGTCCCTTGACCAACAGTCGGGCCATCCGTGTGTTTCGTTGATGTCAGTGTCATTTACTACGGTAACGTCAATGTCGGTAGCTGCGGACTCATCTTCTACGCCAGATGTTCCGCTCACATCAACGCCGACGTTAGTTTGCACCTCATTATGGTTCGTAATCCTACCTGGCTGGACCTCTGTTGACGTGTCTGGCTCTGGCACACGCGTTGTTTTACTGCCTTTCTGAGGCCAGGCGAACATAACAACTTACAAATGGTTTGAAAGCAGCAGTGAGAAATCTGTTTTATGCAGGTGTTGCGGCCTGCCTATCATGCCCAGGGGTGCACGGGCGTAACACAGAAATGCTGGAGAAAAGGGAAGGCTTGGCAAAGGTGGAACGGCGGAGATAAATAAAGCGTGCGCTAAGTTTCAACAAAAGTAAATACAATTTATTAACAACTTATTCAGCACAAAAGACAACTAAAGGAAGCAAGAGCATCAGGGTCTCAAACAATAACAATAAACAAAACCACCCCCCTGACCGCCCTCTCAAGTCACAAAACAGGAGAAAAAGTAGTAACAGAAATGGCAGAGAACCCCTACACACTTGCCCCACACAATGGTGGTCGGTACGCAGACTCTAAACACCAACTCTCTGCTAGCTGTCAGCACGAAGAGAAGAGAGAGACCGCTTAACCGGCCTGATGTCTCTCCGGTGGTGTTGCTCCAGGTGAAATCACATGAGAGAATTGCCCCCGCCCTCTTCTCAGGAGGGGGCGGAGTCACATCAGGGGACGTAACAGCAGGCATCGGCTGATGCTGTTTAGACAACTTTTTTGAAACCTAGCGCCAACAGCTTGCCTTTTACGTGATTCGTCAAGAGGTAAGTCACGTAGCGCTAGTGCCCTCTGGGTACCAGTCTCTCTGACACTGACGCCTTCTGTCGGTGGCACAGTACCGGGCCGGCTACATGCGAGGAGTAGCGGTACGCAAGAAAAGGTGCCGGTACGCTTAAGAGTACCGGCACCGTGAGTACCGGCCAATTTCGAGCACCGGTTTTGCCTGATCAAACCGGTTCGCAGCATTTCGTGGCGCGGTCTCACGCTGTGGTTAAAGTCGGCTGAACAATAGCACGCCTGCACACTAACCCCTTTCTGACTGAACCAGCGATCCCGGATCAGCCCTGCTCCCAGAAAGGTTTAAAACCGTCAGATCTGGGGTTTAGAGCCCAGCGCTGGAACAAAGCAGGTTGTGCCGTAGCGGGATGGAGGCTGCAGATCACTAAGACTCCCTCTGCATCGGCCCCGCTGCTCGGCCTCCACCACCACGGCTGCTGCTGACGCGGCACGTCATGCCGACGGTGCCTCAGCCAGCCAATTATTCAGGACAAACACGAGCTTGTGTAGCGGCAGGAGGCTGGATAGATGGATGTGGGGGATGTGGGGCGTGTGGGGGGGGGCGGGTGAAGGGACGAGGGTGTTCGATAGCCCTCATATAACTAACAGCATCAGCCCCAGCCAGCAGGCATGCATAGAAATGAGATATTTACCCAGGGAGTATAGATGTTATTTATAAAGGACGGACCAAACCCACTCCAATAAAACAGAAGGGCAGCCAGACTATTACAGAGAGCGGAGAGTCGCCAGAGGAAGGGGAGGAGAGAACATTGCGCTGCGTCTGACCCATTTAGAAAATGAGGAGCCGTAAACACAGCAGATCTTAACTCACTGCAGCAGACAGCCAGGGGTAAAACAGAGCTAACCACCTCGACCCCGTAAAAACACGAATCAAAGCTGCACGCTTCAGAATAGCTTTTCAAGTGGGGCAGCCTGTTTTGCAATGTTTTTCTACATTTTGCTCCCAAGTCCTTCTCGTCTTCGTTACCGCCTGGTCTTGCTGGGTCCTAAATAAATTGTTAAAAATACTGCTGCACGCTAATCTACAGTATGTACTGGATCTTCCAACTGAAAGCTGAACCAGGAGATACCTTTAAGAAGTCAAAGCAAGTTAGAAATAAACGCACTCAATCAAAGCAGACTGAGGATCGACCATTAGACACAACATCTCTGACTGTCTCCATAAACTGCACAGTCAATTTAGTCTGAGTTCAAAGTAACATTAGCAGTAAAACCAAAAAAGCTGAAACACTGAAAAACTAAATGACTGGACATGTAGTAATTAAGAGAGATTGGCAATTACCAATGGTTTTCACTACCATTTATCAAGTTTATCAGTGGGTTGTCTTCTAGATTAATTGAGGAATAATTTGGTCCATAGTAACGATTCAAACCCCCCAAAGGTACCCACTAATATAAAAAAACAGTAGCAGGTCGTGACAGTTTAGAATATTTATCAAAATAGTTATTTCTCTGTCACCTGACCAAAAGGCCCTTATTACAGCAGGGTAAATACAGGTATAAATAAACGTACAATGGGCGTGTTACATTTAGTTTGTCCATATTTGATGGTATAGATTTCACCTGTGTTTACCCTGCAATCACATGTCATAAGCTGGGAAATGGGCCTATGGTATCAGCTCTGTAACAATTTAGTATAACTTGTCTTTAGACTGTATATATGAAGTGGACGTCACCCATCTTGGATTAGGGCCCATATTTTTTAGATGACCAAACCAAGGAGGCTGCTGTCAGCAGCAGCACAACAGATCTCTTACAACCATCTTGCGACCATCGGAAGCGGGTCCGGGACCTGAGCTTGCGCATCCGTGTAGTTCAGCTCAGCAGCAGACACAGCTGCAGGTTATCGGGCCTGGGAACAGGCAGGGAGGCTATGGAACGGTGCTCTGTAGTGGTGGTTTGTACTCAACAGGTTCATGTGATTACAAAAATGAAATAAAAATAGCTCTCTGTAGCAGCATCTACAGATTCCCTTCAAGTCTTGTACGAACAGACAGACTAAAATGTAATGTATAGTTTTTTTAATGAGTGAAACATGCTCTCAAAACGACGGAAAAGGCACACAAAGCAACCCCCTCGTGCCGCACGCTCGACCCGAACACCCCGACACAGAAAGAAGTAGCATCAGTATGATGCTTTTAACAAATGTGTCGAGGTAATTTGATAAAAACCTCCACGAGGATCTTCTGCAGCCCAGATGGGCCCGCATGCCAGCACAGACTGACACTGGGAGCCGACTTTTGGAGCTGACTATTTGACGACTCCACAGCAACAGAACCAGGCCCTCGATAACAGTACCATACACACACAAAATACTCTCTGAGCAGAGCAGCTCACAATTGCAAAACACATGATGACATCCAACATCGAGGTGTACCGCCATAACATTAAAAAGGACGGGGCTACATATTACAATCAAACGGCTTAGTCAGCGCAAAGATCCACACAGAGAACGCAAACATCCTAATGAGGTGTTCGATCTGTGTCAACGTGCGAAGCACTGACCTGAAGCAGAATCGGCCTGCAGTCCCCCGGGCGTCCGTGGCGCCGGCCTGGACCAGGATTTAGTTGCAGGAGGGCCGACTCGCACCGCCCCGACGTACTCCACAAACGTCCCCGGGAAGTCTCCCTTCTCCTTGGTCCTCTCGTTGGTGCCGTGCAGCCAGCCTTTGGGGCTCCGCTCGTCCCCGTCCTGGTAGTCCGGCCCCGGCTGAGCCATCAGCGAGGCCTTGAGGACGGTGAGCAGGTCGCCCGTCTGGAGGCTGATGTCATCGCCGCGCTCTCGCTTGTACTCAAATAGCGCCCGGTACTGGAAACTGTCAGATGCCATGGCCACAGGGATTCATAGGGCGGTTCTAGAGCCAAAAATACAGACGTTGCCTGAGATTTTGTGTGTTAAAAGTCTTGAAAAATACCAAAAGGAAATGGTGGTAAATGGTAGTTCAAAATTCCTGAGGTGCAACCAGAACTCAACCTAAACCTGGGAAACCTGTGACGGCGCCTGAGATTTGTGGTGTCGCGCTGACTTGGATGACACAGCGGAAATGATAGAAATCTGATCCCTGAGGTGGAATTCGATACCTGTGTCAGTCCTACAACCCCATGAAGAACAGGTCCAACCTTTTTAATCCAAAAATTGAAGTACTTTAAGCAAATGAACGGTGAACTTTTGCTTTAATACTTGAATTTGATTATATGTCCGTGCAGTTCTTTAAAAATCCACAGTCTGAATCCACCCGACCATCAAAGCTCTTCAGTCAGAGGCCTCCGAATGGGCACGAAGACGACCTCTAGCTCTGCGCTGGAACAAGAAAAAAGTGGAATGGGTGGTGGGGGTGGGGGGGCCGGAGGGTGTGGAAACTGGCGGCTGGCACAGTTTTCTAGGACGGGGCGACCTCCAGAGGAACCCCCAAATCTTCTGCCAGGATCGTCCAATGTTAATGAGAAAGGGTGCGGAGCGTTCACTGGGTCCGCTGTCCAAACCAGACACCCCACAACACACAAAAACACACACACACACACACACACTGGACAAAATCCACTGCAGTGCAGGATTTGGCTTGTTATTGGGAGCCTCCCCGTGTGCACTCCTCTGCTTCGCCTTCCTTCACTGCGCAGCCTCCTGGAGCAGACAGACGCACCTGCAAACTTGAAATGAAGTTCCTAGGGTTAACATCACATAACCGTATCCAGCAAATAGGATTTAAATGCAAGAACATAGGAGGTGAAGTCACGGTCTGAGGGTCGTTTTGAAAGGCGTGGCTTTCATTTAAGTACATCACATTGATAATACCATTGGAGGGAAAACTTCCTTTGCTCAGCAGGCGGACAGAAAGACACTATCGGTCAACAACAAAGCGTGACGAGGCGAATATGAACTTCGAGCAGACCGCGTGCCGCCCGCCGGACCGCACGCGGAGAAACTCACCGGTCAAAGTGCGCGGAGGAGCCCCGCGTCCTGCTCGCGACCACCCGGAGCGCCGACGGTCCGCTTTCGACACGAGCCGAACACCGCGGCGAGGCGAGGTGAGCCCAGACGTCCGCGAAGCCCTTCGGGAGAACTGCGTGGCGTGGCTGGTCCGGCAGACAGGCAGCGCGCGCGCGCATGCCGTAGTGAGCGGCCGCGGTGATGTCAGTAAAGCCCTCCCCCCCCTCCCCTTTCTCCCCCCCCCCCCTGCCGAGCGGAGACGGGACGGGTCGGTGCTGCAGCAGAAAACTCGTGCGTGACCCGCTTAGCGGTGTCCTTGGGCTCTTCTGCTGTTCTTTTCTCTTTTTTTTCCCCCAGTTGTAATTTTACTTGACGTCAGGTGGGGAGAAGCGATCGGGTGCAGAGAGGTGACGACTTATGTAACAACTCGAGTGACCTAACACAATTACTGCATAGATCCCCGCGCATTGGGTCGCATTGAAGGAAAGTAATTCATAGTTTAAAAAAAAAATTTAAAAATCCGTATCGTCCATGGAGGGGTGAGATTTGAGGTTATGGATGATGGAAGAAGAGCGCAGGCTTGGTTGCTGTTGTCTCGTGCGCACATGACGCAGCAGCAGGCAGCGGCAGACTGCTGCGTCATCAGGTGCGCACGTTTCCCTTTTTGCAGCTGCGGGGAACATTTAAGGTACAAAGTGTTCAGAGCAGCAAGGAGGGAATGAGGTTTGGGAATGTGTTTTATTATATTCAGATCTGTCAAATAACTTTCTGTTTTAAAATGTTTCTAAATTTAAATGTTCAAATCAAAGTATTGCTTTTATCTTTTTTATCTCATCTCTTTTTTATGTGCTGCCCGTTTCTGTTTTATATATCGATTTTGTATCTTTTGTATCTTGCAACTCTGTCTAGAAAAAAAAGAAGTAAGAGAAGCATATATTGTGGCAATTTAAACCCAATAAGATTAAAACATAACTTTTAGGGGAGGGGTGAAAGGTGATCTGACAACTGGAAAATGAAACATGTATTGAACACCACAGTGCAAACTGGGGCCCTGATGCAAGGAAGGTCCCCTGTTATTGTTAATACGCAATGGTCCCACGTTGGCTGCTGACTTAAATTAATTAAAACAATCATAATGGGAGTACTTTGGTACATGCCGTACAATCAATTGCAACAATTACAAATGCAAAATGCATCTTTGTTGCAGTCTCGCTCTATGACGTCAGACCAATAAAGGTGTTAAAGAACCTTTGAGTGGCCACAATATGTTTTGTTTAAAGCATTTCCAGGGTTAAAATATCATAATCAGGTTATTGTCAAATCTTTCTATTTTTGTTGCCTATTTTATTCTTGCCTTGTGTTTTTTAAGAATACATTAACACAAATAAAGATGCTATTCCCATCTTGTACTTTTTCAAGGAAGGCGCATGAACTGTCCTGATGTTATGAAGAATGTGACTACTGCCAGAATAACAATATTTAAACCCATAAACCCATAACATAAATCATTTTGGGGAGGCTGTGCTTAAAAAGACAAAACCCTGGGCGGATTGATCCAGAGCTTGCCTGAGGCCTGTTTTTATATTTGCTGATACACCCAAAGCACAAGAGAGATACCTCACGGAGAAGCGAGGCACTAAGATCGATGGTAGTCGTTATGTCTCGTAGTTCAGGACGACATACGAAATGGAATCAGCAACAAACGGCTCCAAAGCGTCCTTCTATCTGCTATGTTATTTTTTCTGCACAAGTTCAATCGATAAGATGCAGCATGTAAATCAGACAGCGTTTGAAGCGGGAGGTGTTTTCAAGCCTTTGATGAAACCTGTGTAGCGGTTTTACCTTCTTCCAGTCTGTGTGCTTAGTGAAAATATGTCCTGGACCAGAGAGGAGACGAGAGAGGAGATAGTGAAGAGAATGTTTTTACCAATAATCAAAGTGTGACCCCGTATATTCAGATGAAATAGCAACAACATTTACTTATCCAGTAATTAAGTAATATGCCTCAGTCACCACTCATGTTACATTTTATATCCATGTCTCAATATATCAGCACTTCATCATTTCATCTTGACAGACATGTGTGTACATTTTGTAATCAGCATACGTGCTCTTGAATATGTCACATGACCATTGACAAATACAACCTAAGAAATTCTTCTTGAGTGGAAGGCATAAAACATAGTATGTGGTAATAATAACACAATCTGCCCTACATTAAAAAAACTTAAATTGCCCAGAATCACCCTGAATCTGCATGACAGTGTTTCTTTTTTATACATATGCCCAAATGTATTCATGTTTTTAGAAAATACTGTATATGTGTATGAATCAATAGAGGGGGGTTGATAAATGTATGAACCATGTTGACACTGGGCCTTAGTCCGGTCCAAAATATATCTAAGTTCTTCTGTTCTCATTTACTGCAGAAAACCTGCCTCAATCTTGTTAATGTGCACTGAGTGCCGAAACGACCGCCATGACAGCATCGTCCACTCCTCATCGCCGCCTCACGGTAAAACGATCTCTCAGACGTGGTCACATCGATGCTGACACGCGGGCCCGTATGCAAATGTACAGCGGCAGGGAATCTCTAAAGCCCTCGCTGAGAAACAGGGAAGATAGGATCAGGATATTACAGGCGTTTAGTCATTCTTGTGTCTCGGTGTCAGGCAGATATTGCTTCCTCTGTGTCTCTCGAGCTCACGTCTTCCTCTCCGTCACATCTCCCACGGTGAATCTGCCGGAGGACAATCTTTATGAGAAGAAAGTGTGACTTCCCAGAGGAAATGGAGGATACACGTGGCAGATTAAACGTGTCAGGCTGTACAGGCATCGTTTCCCTCCATCGCATCGGGAGAGTGCGATTACTCACAGAGGCAAACAGGCTGTGCTTGTTTAGTCCGTACAGACACCACCCATTGAAGCATGAGGGACTGTTGGCTGGAGGCTGTCAGGTCAGAGGTCAGTGCCACATATCATGGCAGACTACACAGACGTTGATTCACGCAGCATTAACACAATTTTAGAAAACCCTCCGTGTTACCTGAGTTATGAAAAGTTCCATGAGGACTGCAAACTGGGAATTCACAATACTTTTCATGGGAAAATAACAGCAAACGTCCCAGACTGTACATAAGAAGTGGAGGAAAAACCCCACAACTGTATACAACTTGTAGAGATAGTGACCTGCTAAAGTAATCATTTACAAAATAAAACCTTGAAGAAGAGTAGAAACTAGCAAATTAAGGTTTATTAAGGTTTATTAAGGTAAGGCCATTATTCTTTATTTAGTGCTGGGCCACAATAACATTTTTTGATTGCAGGAAACGCTGCAATTAATTGAATTGTAATGTGCAAAAATCAATAATGAATTCAAAACAAAAAGTGAGTGTGCTTTTTAACTTGACTTAAACTTAAAATATAAAATACATTTGAATTCAAATCAAATATAAAACCAAAGCTATTTGACAATGCCATTTTATTTGCATATATTATATGTTGTAATATATATTACCATGTCTACATCATTGTTTGTCTATCGTATATATCTTTTTGTGTAGTTGAATCAAATACTAAGAAAAGATGATAAGTTCAATCACATGACCTCACTGGCTGTGTGTAACTGGCAGCAGGACGTCCGGGTGGCGACGGCCTCCTGGTCGTGACGGTTGTTTTGATCGCGTCCGCATGTGGAAGCGTGTTCTCACGTGAGCGCATGTCGTGGCCTCTCCCTTGTGTTTAGCAGCTTTAACTAGATGCCTTCACAGACGTACGGATGCCCAGCGGATCCATGCACATAGATAAACACACACACACACACAACTACATGCACCTCATTTCTCATTTCTACAAGCCTTCGCCGTGCCGTGTGTCACACGTCATGTGCTTCAATGAGCAGCAGGGTCAAGAGCTCATTGGTGGCCCAGGCGGCTCCGCGCGATGCCGTGCCTGGAGCAACCCGCCAGAGAGGACCATGTTGTGTTATCAATTTAATTATTTCCCATAACACCACAGGGAATATTTGTGTTCCTTATCAAAGCCAAACATGCATCTTTCGATTTGCGTTTTGATGTAAGAATAAGGAAACACGTGATTTAATGTTAAACCTCTGGCCAGGTTTGCTCCCAATTTCAGACGAATAGCAGAAGGATTACTGAGTTTGATGGATTTTGTGTAAATTTAGCTGAATGCCGTGATTGCAGCGAGTTTTATTTACAGACATAAAAACATGCTTTATACAGTCCGCACACATCCCTGAAGGGTAGTCCCACAACAGGAGCCATGTGAGAGTAGTAGGCCTTCATTCTAATAATCCTGTCCTAACTGCATAGTTAAGATAAATAACAGCAGCAGCTGCAGCAGGTCGGAGACAAATCAAAGTATATGGATTATCGATAACAGTGTGTTTGGACATTAATGTATGACGATTTTCATCCACTTGTTTTTCTGCACACTTTCAATCTCAAGCATAAACACACTGCAAAAAAGAAAAAAAAAATATTCAAAGTTGCAGTAGTCGGCTGCTTGAAGAACTACTGAAAGCTTAAAAAGACAGAAACTATGTTTTGGAGCCGTTTTGATGTCCTCAGCAGAAACAAATCACTTGATAGCAACACACATGGTAATAACATCATAAAGTAATTATAGACAGATATACACTTTTTTTATTTTGTTAAAGTTGAAAGATAAGAGCACATTGATTTTTTACCACTTGGACATGTTGTTGATTGTATCATGATGCAATTAGGTCCTTACAGGTTACAACTGAAACAGATTAAGGAACCAGTGTGCTTGGTGAGGGTCACATACCGCTCCGTGTGATAGATACACCACAAGTGTTATTTTACGTAATACATTCGTTTTTATAAAAATAACAACTGACATCTGCTCAAAGCTGGACTCCTGAGCAGGAACAGCTCGTCCTGCATGCCCTTCTCTTCGTGTGATCCATGCCTGTGACATGAGATTAAACTTCACGATTGAGGTATCGGGAAGCTTAAGGATGTAGAGTTCCTTTGTCACATAAACTCCATGTAGATGTTTACCCAATTTGTGCACACACAATCCATTTTAATATGAAGAGGTTATGCAATGTTCCTCTACACAAGCAGCCTTTGCCACAGCTGCTCGACAACACTGGATGTCA